AAAAAAAAAAAAAAAAAGAGCAGAGAAGGCAAGGAGAAGGTAAGGAGAGTCACTGGTGTGTAGAAGGAGCTGGATGGGCCCCCGGGACACTGCCATGCCAAGAGAGGGAACCGGCCAGGAGACTTAGAAGGAAAGACCAGGGAGGAAGGGAGAGGTCTGTCTGGGCAGGGATCTGGGCACCTAGGGGATGGAAGGGAAAAGATCAGAACCTTATGGAAATTACTCAGGGGGGAAGTGAGGGCCTGGACTAGTATGACAGCTGAGGAGCCAGAGGGGAGGGGGTTGGGGAGATGTTATCCCCAACATTACCTTCAAAGAAACCAAGGCCCAGAGAGGCAAAGGTTAAGCATGTTGCTCAACATCACACAGCTTGAAAAACATAGGGCCCACTGTAGTGGACCTTGACAGAGTCAAGTAAGTGTAAACTCTGAATATTTATATGACAAAAGCCATTCTATACTGGAAGGGTGAGGACACTCAAATGGGAAGGACAAGACAGGTGCAACCTCATTATCAAATAATAATAAATCGAACAAAGGTAAGAACAAATTGCTTTAACATGTAGAAGTAGATAGAAGTTAGCATATTTGAACGTATTTGCCCCTAGAAAATGGAACTAGGGAGGCACTTGTGTGGCTCAGTCCATTAAGCATCCAACTTGTGCTCAGGTCATGATCTCGAAGTTCATGAGTTCAAGCCCCGCCGTTGGGCTCTGTGTTGACAGCTCTTTAAAAAAAAAGTTATGTGAAAGTATAACTTGGACAAAAATAAAAATGATCATTATTTAAATGGGCAGTTGGGAAGTAAGGAGTTTTATATCCTCTGGTGTTAGCCGTTGTCTCTAGATGGATGAGATTGTGGATGGGTTTTTTGGTTTTGGGTTTTTTGGTTTTTTTCTTACCTGCTTATATTTTCTGAGCTTTCTGGAAAGAACATCCAATGCTTTGTGGAGGTTGGAAGATCAGTTCATTTGTGACCTTGGAAGAAACAACCTCACTAAAATACGTGTTTGAATGTATTCCCCCACCTCTTTCCAAAAAGCTTGGTGGGTGGAGTTGTATTCAAAGACTGGACCCGGTCTTGTTGTGACTCAGTGGCTCCCCACCAATACCAGACTTCTAGTGCTAGGACCGGGGCAGTCCCAAATGGGGATGGTTGGTCACCCAGGCTTTGTAACGTACAAACTCTCTCTTCATTCCCTTGCTCCTTTGAGCCTACCCAGTCAGTGAGGTAGGTGGGGTGATGGATCACTTTCCTGAATGCAAAGGAGAAGCAAATTAATCTCAGAGAAGCTCCCAGTCCCTTCCCTGGGAGAGGCATGGAGAGGAAGTGGGCCCTTCAACCATGCGCATATATCGCGTTGATAAAATAAAACACATGGAACGCCTGGGTGACTCAGTGGCTCAGGTCATGATCTCGCGGTTCGTGAGTTCGAGCCCCGCCTCACGCCTCAGGCTCTGTGCTGACAGCTCGGAGCCTGGAGCCTGCTTCGGATTCTGTGTCTCCCTCGCTCTCTGCCCCTCCCCCGCTCACGCTCTGTC